GAACAAAACAGAACCTGTGCATTACATATCTAGTAGCAAGACACAAAGCCAGCACCAAACAGTAAAGCAAAAGTAGAGACAAAACAGGTCAACATGGACCACTTAATTCCTAGCACATCCCGCTAGGATAGGTAAAGTAACTAAAATCGTTAAAAAACAAATAAGGAAAACAGCTTATATCCCTGAAGAAAACATCCAGTGGCGCATTCAGCAGCCAGCTTCGAGCCAAATATCCCAAGAACCAAACCAAGAAATAGACCTCCACTAGACAATATAGAAAGACCTGCCAACATGGAGTGAAAAAATCCATTAGTGATTATGGACAGATTCCATTAATACTAGTACCACCATATATATCTCACATCACTAAACCCACAATAATCTCACATCACTCTGTGGTATTTGGAATTTAGCACACAATATATAGGCTCTCATCACTCAACCCACACATAATTGCAGCACATCGTTACACACCATAGCCTGCACATAAAGCTTACAATATATATAAACATTAGATAAAACATTTGTAAAGAGCTATGTCACTCAACCCACTATTCTGTCAGTTGACATTATTTGGACTCACAACACTCAACCCTCATTGAATTCCAAGCACTTCTCATTACTGCACAAGAAGAAAACAGTTAGGAAAGCACTCAGTTTGCTTACATTCACTCGACCCTCATATAGTAAACTCACATCACTCAGCAGCCCTCCCATCTCCAAGATCATGGGGCTTCAAAACAGTAGCAGGCAAATTCCAATGGTCAATGTACCAGTTGTCACCTGCATTTCTAGGAACATTTGTGATAGACAACAGTCTACCCCTAATCAGTTGGACAATAATTTTAACAACCACTTCTTCTGGCTTGAATTCTTTATTGAAAATTCTGTTATTCCTTTCAAGCCAGATAATATAAACAGAACACAACAATGACAGTTTGATGATAATGGATCTTAATGACCTTCTCTTAGTCTCTCTAGTAGCAAAGGGAATAATGCCAGGCCACTGAAATTCAGGCCACTGCACATTACATTTAGCTTTGATTTCAGTCCAGATTTTAGCAGAGAAGACACAATAAAAAAAGAGGTGAGAATGATTTTCAGCAACATGTTGGCAAAAAGGGCAAGTTGGTGTAGGTGAGATACCAAATAGCTGAAGCCTGTCCCCAGTATTTAGTCTCTCATGGATAGCCATGCAAACAACAAATCTAGCCCTAGGGATCTGGTGAGCCCCCCAGATAAGTTTATGCCAATCAACTTTATCAAGCTTAAGCCGCTAATGATTCCAAACAGCATTAATAGTAAATTTCCCATCAGAAAGAGACAAAGTAGGTTGATCATTCAAGGAAGTATTAGGTTTGTAGCTAGTGGGGGTGGAAGAAATCAGCTCCCTTATTTCCCAAGAGTTAGGGACATGCCACTTCCAAGAACCCCCATCCACAATCTGATTGACCTTAGTCTCACTATTAAGACTGGAGTTATACAAGATTTTGTCCCCAAATTTTTTCCATAAAGGACCAAGAGGAGGCCAATTATCATACCATAACAAAGTAGAGTCACCCCTACCTATTTTGTGGATAATAAGAGGTGATATTTTATCTCTAAGAGCTAGAATCTTTCTCCAAAGCCAAGATGAGTTATTGGGAACCTTCGCTTTCCAGAAGCTTTTGCCCTTAAGTAAATACGATTTAACCCACTGGCACCACATAGACATCTCCCCTCCAGAGAAAAGGAACCAAATATGCTTGGTTATAGCAGCCATGTTCCAAACCTCTAAAGATTTAAGCCCGAGACCACCTTCATTTTTTGGCACACAAATTTTATCCCAAGCAATTTTGGCACTATGTTTCCTAAGATCCGTACCTGACCAGGAAAAAGCTCTAAGAATACCCTTAATCTCTCTAATAACCCTCTTGGGGAGGATAAAGAGAGAAGACCAGTAAACCTGCATAGAAAAGAGAATGGTCAGAATGAGTTGGGCTCTACCAGCATAAGAAAGAGCTTTATTGGTCTAGCTCTTTATCCGATTTGTGATCCTATCAATGAGAATTTGACAGTCCGAGGCCCTAAGCTTAGTTGTGATCAGAGGGACACCAAGGTATTTGACAGGAAGAGTACCCTTAGTAAACTTAGCAATTTTAAGAATATCCTCTCTCAAATTCCCATTATATCCAGAGAAATAAATATTGTTTTTGCTGAAGCTAGGGGTAAGGCCTGAAAGGGAAGAAAACTCCTCCAGGCCTTGCATGATTAAACAAACAGTAGGGACATCCCCTCGACTGAAGATCATAAGATCATCAACAAAGCAAAGATTCACAATCTTAGATTTCTCACACCTCCAATGGAACATCTGTAACTTCTCTCTAACGTTCTAGGCAACTAATAGTTTCATCAGCTTACGTGGCCAAGTTTAACTCAAACTAATCTTGCTTAGCCTCCAAGAAAGAGATTCTATCGAGTAATTGTAGCTTCACGATATTAGTTTGACTGAAGCAGCTGATTTAAGGTTTTCTAAATCACCTAAGTGTTAAAATCTCAAGTCCAAAATAATGAATTAGAATTCAATTTAATTTTAATCCTATTTCCCTTTCCATTCTCTAACTTTCTCTTCTAGCTCTCAAGAAGAAAGTTTCTCTCTAACTCTCTCCGTCCTTCTCCACCCTTCTCTGTTTTGTTCAAGGAACTAATTAGGTTTGGCAACTTATAGCTTCATTCCCTTAAGTGACCATGTTTAACTCAAACTAATCTTGCTTAGCCTCCAAGAAATAGAATTCACTGAGTAATTGTAGCTTTACGATGTAGGATAACTAAAGGAACTAATTTAATGTTTTGTAAATCACCTAAGTGTTCAATTCTCAAGTCCAAAACCATGAATTTGAATTCGCTTTGATTTTAAACCTATTTCCTTTTCTTTTCTCTAACTTTCTCTTCCAGCTCTCAAGAAGAAAGTTCCTCTCCGACTCGCTCCGTCGTTCCCCACCCTTCTCTCTTTTGTTCTAGGAACTAATTAGGTTACGCAGCTAAGAGCTTCATTAGCTTAAGTGGCTGAGTTTAACTCGAACTAATCTTGCTTGGCCTCCAAGAAGAGAATCTACAGAGTAATTGTAGCTTAACGATAACAATTTAACTTAAGCAACTCATTTAATGTTTTCTAAATCACCCAAGTGTTCAATTATCAAGTCCAAATGGGTGAATTTGAATTCGCTTTAATTTGCATCCTGTTTCCGTTTCTTTTCTCTTACTTTCTCTTCTAGATCTCATGGAGAAAGTTTCTCTCTAACTCTCTCTGTCGATCTCCGACTTCTCTATTTTGTTCTGGGACTAATAGTTTCACTAGCTTAAGTGGCTACGGTTAAATGAAACTGATCTCGCTTAGCCTCCAAGAAAGAGATTTTACAGAGTAATTGTAGCTTAAGAATATTAGTTTGACTTGAGCGCATCATTTAAGGCTTTCTAACTTGCCCAAGTGTTCGATTCTCAAGTCCAAAAGAATCAGTTGGAATTCCCTTTAATTTTCATTCTATGTCCCTTCTTCTCTCTAATTTTCTCTTCTAGTTATGAAGAAGAATGTTTCTCTCTAACTCCCTCCTTCCTTCTCCATCCTTCTCTCTTTTGTTCTAGGAGCTAATTAGCTTATCCAACTATTGGTTTCTTTAGCTTAAGTTATAGCGATCCCGATTTTTTCTACTATTGTTGAACTGTAATCCGGACTTGGTTCCGTAGATCTGTTGTTGTCTTATCCTCATTTCTATCCCTTACTCTTTGTTTTAGATTTTTGGGTTATGTTGTATAGTGATCCCGGTTGTCCCTTTTCTGTTCAGTTGTATTCCAGACTCGGTTTCGTGGAGTTGGTTGTTGTATCTATCTTGTTGTCGTCCTTTAATTTCATTTGTTTGAGTTTTAGGATGTGTTGGGCATGTTTCGAACAGGTGGGTTGAACCTTGGTCTAAAATCTTGTTGCTAGGTTTTTGGTCGTTCCGCTCGAGCGGGCCTTGTTGCGCTCGAGCGAATATTGCACACTCCCAGTATTTCTGTAGACACCCCATTTTTGACCGTCCTCAAGGCTTGGACGTCGTTGTTTGAACACGCGATGATTATCCATACTTGTGTTTATTTTTAGTTTCGAAAAGTCTTGGCTGCGCGCCTTGCATTAGAATCTCTTAACTTCTCTGTTTTGTGCTTGGTTGCAGACCAAGAGCTTGTGGATGTGTTCCTGAGGGAAGGGGATGGCCTGTCGACCAAGTCTCCTGCCCATCGGCCACCTTGATTTTCAATCGGCCAAATGTGATGGCCGGCCGGCCAGTTTGACTGCCGGTCGACCACTTTGATGGCCGGCTGGCCAAATGTGGTTTTCAACAGATATCTCTGTAGACAGCTGTCAACTGTCATTCCAGGCCATACCCCAGTCCATGCCTGGACGTGGGAGTTTTGAGGAGCTGTAGATTGATATATATCTATATCAATCAAGCTCTCTAAAAAAAAGAAAAAACAAGGAGGAATATACAACTTTGAGCAAAAAAATCTCTCTCTCTCTACATTTCCTGCCTCTCTCTCTAAGGTTTAGGGCTTGTTTGTGCTCAAAAGTGCATTTTCTTTGCACTTTTGCATACAAACACCTAGTTCTCTACTCCCTTTATTGAGCTGAGGTCCTTGGAGGTGATTTTTGGGGTGATTTGAAGCTTTTTTTGGTCCAAAAGTTGCTGATTTGCTGCTGTGCTTCAAGGGTGAGCTTTTACCTCTTTTAAGCCTTGTTTTCATAGCTTGTTTTGCCATATTTACAACTGTTTTTGAGCTTAACATATAACATAGAAAAGTCTTGTTTTTATCTGCCCTAAATAGTTTCTTAAGGGTGTTTTAAGCTTTGGGGTTGTTTGACCCCTCTTAAGGCTTGTTTGGCCCTTATTTTGTGCCATTTCGGTTGAGCTCCGGGACCATTGTATTTGGGCCTCCTCACCACTGAAATATTGAGGGATTTCAGTGATGAGGACAGTGCCTTGAGGTCCTAAGAAGGAGAGAGCCACCCCCTCTCCTTGTTGTCCTTGAAAAGGGCCATTTTTGCCTCTTGAGGAAGCATCTTGTTTAAGTGTATGTTGGCCATGCTTTAACTGATTTTTGTGCTTATTATGTCATAATATAGCTCTGTTTTCAGTTGGTTTGGACACACCTTGCATGCCTTGCATACATGTCTTGTAATGCCACATTTTTGCCTTAACATGCTTTAGGTGTAGACCCTTGTTCTAGCATGATTTAGGGTTAGCTTTGTGAAGCTTACATGCATATTTTGATGTGCTAAGGGACTGTTTTAGGTCATTTGAGTCATTCATGTGAATGTCTTAAGCTTTGGCCTCTCTAGCATGCATTACTTGCATTATTTCAGTGGTTTGGAACCATTTACCATGTTATTTCAGTCCTTATAACATGCTTGTATGCTTGCCTTTGATGCCTCTTTGATGCCTTATGAGGTTGTGCCTTATGCTCCATGTTTGGTCATTGGGTATGCCCTTGAATTTAAGTCATTTAGATGCCATCTAAGTGGTCTTTAGGCTTTGTTTTAATATGTTAAAACTCTGTTTTGATCATTTAATTCATGCCATGTTTGGTTTTTGCTAAGGGTAGTTCAATACCTCCTTAGCTTGCCTTAAGTACTTGGACCATTATTGCACGCTTTGCTTGTTTTGATTACTTGGTTTGGCACCTCTCTTTCATGCAATTTCAGAGCTTATGATACATGCCATATGCCCATGTTTGTCTTCCTTTAAGTGTGCTTAAAGGTTGCTTATTTGATGTTCAAGTGTTAGCCCATTTGCTTGCATGTGTGTGTGTGTATTGGTTATCATTTCCATAGCATTGGCCACTGTTTTAGGCTTGTTTAAGGGCTACCTAATTTAGTTTAAGTCCACCCTTTGGCATGTTGTTGCATGCTTAGCTTATGACATGTTGTTGCATGTTGAAATGATGCTGCTTTTGGCACGTATTCTCCTCCTTGTTTTGGTTGCTTAACATGCCATATGTTTTGCATGCTTGTCTGTTGACATTGTGCCTTGTATGCTCATTTAACTTGCATGCTTGTTATATGCCTTGCATGCTTCCCATATGTTCATGTTGCATGCCTAGTTAACATACTTAGGTTGCATTGCATTTGCATGCATCTTTCACCTCTTGATCAAGCCATGATAGAGGTTGAAAGCCCCTTTGTTTGCTTATTTGCATTACATTTCATTTAAAATCAAAGTGCATACTTTGTTTCTTGGGCCATCATGCACTGAAATGCGCAATTGATTGTCCGAGAATCGAGAACCGTGTCCCTTTGAGTCATAAACATGATAGGGGATATGTTGGTGCATACATTTGCTTGAAATACATTGCCATGCCTTGCCTGCCCTCTGTTGCTGTCAAACTGGTTTCTGCAGGAAGTTTTGGCTGGCCGGCCATATATACTGCCGACCGACCAAATATACTTGGCCAAGAGCTCAATGGATGGTCGATGACCACTTCAAAATGGCTGGTGATGATCCCACTCAGCCGGTGGTGTTCCAAAACACTCAGAGAAGCAACCTTGGGAGTTGTGCAATTTTCAGATAAGCAGAACAGTCAAAGCAGAGGCAAATTTGTGCATGGCGTTGGATTTTCGAGCAAACCCGACCACGCGCGCATTGGACCCTCTTCCCGAGGCCTTTACTGCTTTCTTAGCTTAGTTAATTTGCTTAATTAATTTGGTGGTTTGTAATAATTAATTAGCTTGTAGGTTAATTAATTTGTATTATTCTTTTGGTCCCTCCGAGCGAGGGTGAATTTGTAATAAGTGTGGGTGCGTGTGTGCATGTCTTCCAACCCCCACTTCTTTCTCCCTTTTACTTACCTGCTTTGATGGTTAGTATTAGGACATGTTTACTTTAGCATACCTTATGCTATGCATGCGTGCATCATTCATCAGTATCATATGCACCAGGCTCGGCGCATCATACTAACTGCATTTGTACTTGAATTTCAAATTGAATACGTGCATCAATTGATCTCATTTCTCGCATGCCATGATTAGGTTAGCCGAGCCTACTCTAAATGCATTGTGCTAAAAGTGCATTTTCTTTGCACTTTTGCAAACAAACACCTAGTTCTCTACTCCCTTTATTGAGCTGAGGTCCTTGGAGGTGATTTTTTGGGGTGATTTGAAGCTTTTTTTGGTCCAAAAGTTGCTGATTTGCTGCTGTGCTTCAAGGGTGAGCTTTTACCTCTTTTAAGCCTTGTTTTCATAGCTTGTTTTTCCATATTTACAACTGGTTTTGAGCTTAACATATAACATAGAAAAGTCTTCTTTTTATCTGCCCTAAATAGTTTCTTAAGGGTGTTTTA